AGACTCTTGAGAGTCCCTTGGACTGCAAGGAGATCCAACCAGTCCATCCTAAAGGAGATCAGTCCTGGGTGTTCATTGGAAGGACTGATGCTGAAGCTGAAACTCCAATACTTTGGCCACCTGATGCGAAGAGCCGTCTCATGGAAAAGACCCTGATGCTGGGAGGGATTGGGGGCAAAAGGAGCAGGAGGTGGCAGAGGACAAGATGGCTGGATGGCATCACTGACTCAGTGGGCATGAGTTGGTCCAACCCCAGAGATAGAGGGGAGGACAGAGGAACTTGGCGTGCTGCCATCTATGGATCACAAAGAGTTGGAGGCGACACAGCAACTGAACAACAGCCACAAGCCCCAGAATGTGACCTTTAAGTTTCTTGCGTTCGGAAAAGTATTCCTTTGTGGTCACACGTGGAGTCTGTTTTTGTAAACATTTCACAAACCTAAGGGAGAGGCTACTTTAAGTGTGAGGGATGCTGGATTCTGCAGATATTGTATCAGCTTTACTGACTCTATTATCTAATTCCTGTATCCTAACTGGTGCTCTTATTTAATTCCTGGATCCTATCTGGTGAATTAGAATGCTGAAGAGTGAACACAGGAGTGCCAAGGTCACCCATTACTGCTGTATTTGCCTGAAATTCTCCCAGTATTTATTATCTCCTCAGTATGTTACTTGCTGGCCACATATTCCTAACACACCATTAATTTCGCCTTTTACATTACATAGTATTCCTCTTAATTCGACACACTTGACCCCAAACACCGCCTCATCTGAGGTCAACTGCAGATTCCGCTTTTTGTTCTCCTTCCTCTGTTTCCTGGGCCCTCATCTCTATGTCCAACTTTCGTCACCCTGTTATCGTAGACAGAGTGGAGCTGGGTTTAGTTTATTTCTCAGCCCCGCTTAGCTGCCTGTCCTTTGGTGGGAAAGCTCAGTCCACACGATAGCATCCTTGGTTCTGCTCCCTTCAGTTTCGTGTCCATGCCTCATCACGCACGGACCGCTCCTGCCCACCCGATCCCCATGTCCTGGTCTGCTCAGGGTGTAGCCCCTGCTTCCCCCGCTCCCCCGCTCCCTTTTGTCTGCAAGTCCTCACTCAGGGATCCCTCCCTTCCACGGTCCCCGTGCCCATGGCCATCCCTTGAAGACGTGTCCGAGTACTTCCCACGCCGAGAGGTTTCCTCCCCGTCTCCCTGACAGCAACCACGCCCCGGGAGACGGGTGGAATGCTGGCTCCGATGATCGGATCCCTACTTCTAAACGGAATAACTCTGAACACAGAGCGGGCCGAAGGGGAGACAGAACAGAAGCCACAGAGAGAGGCTGGATGAGGAAGTCACGGGGTCAGAGACGCTGGAGGCCATTGCGATGGTGACAGATGACGGAATCACAGATGTGTTTTGGAAATCAAATTCTAACTGAAAAAAATAAAGTAGCTCAGCCACCACCTGTAAACTGCTCCATCCCAGGCTCTTCCCTCCAGGCGACACCTCTCCTGACCTCCAGACACCTCGTGGCTTTTTCCTTTTTACAGTTTTTGTTTACTTATTCTTGGCTGTGCTGGGTCTTCATTTCTGTGCGTGTGCTCTCTCTGGTTGCGGCGAGCGGGTCTCCTCTCTATTGCAGAGCATGGGCTCTAGTGTGTGCGGGCTTCAGAAGCTGTGGCGTGAAGGCTTGGCTGCCTCACGGCATGTGGGATCTTCCCAGACCAGGGATTGAGCCTGTGTCCCCTTCATTAGCAGGCAGACTCTTATCCACTGGGCCACCAGGGAAGCCCCTCACAGCTTCTTGCACATCTTTGTTCAATGACCCCTGGATGCTCTAAGCACCAATCCAGATTCTCCCCCACCGCACCAAATCTGTTATGTTCCTGGCAAAGGACGTCACCACGGACCCGACTCTCTAACCTGAACCCTAGCGGTCACTGCAGGACGCTGCTCATAACTCACACATCAAGCCTACCTCCTCCAGGTTCTGAAAACCCATTCTCTCTCTCCCCAACTCCACTGTCCTCCCCTCCCGTGGACGGCCTCCTCCTCGCGCCCAAGCAGCTGTTCTCCTCTTCCGCGGTCACTTCCTCTCCTGCTGCTGTCCACCCCCATCTACTCATCACCCTGCAGCCGGGAGAGGCCGGAGAGTTCAGAGCGGACCACGCACCGCCCTGCTTCAGCCCTCTGCGGCAGCACCTTCAGTGTAACACCCCACGCTCCACTGTGTGCCAGCATTATCTCAGACAGACCCCGACCGAGACCAGCCTACCGAGCCAGCAGAGCCTGTGAGACTCCTGGACGGTGTCACGGAGCCCAGAGGCAGGACCGAGGCCAGAACCAGGCACTCAGGTGTCCGCCAAGCCCGCCGGCCCCTCCCAGCCCTGCCTGTCTGGACACAGCAGCTTCAGCCACCGCTCCAGCCACAGGCCTCCTGGTTTCTGCGTGGCCTGAGGCTGTGATCTCCAGCGTAAAACGCCGAAGGACCGCGCGGTCCGGTGACGGCAGGGGCCCACCTCAGACCCACAGGGGCCGCCCTCACGGCTGGCCTGAGAGGAGCAGCGATGCTCGGAATCGGGCGCTCAGTGTCGGCGGCTCTCAGAGCAGGGTCGTGCGGGGCGGGGGAGGCGGCGCTGCAGGGCAGACAGGCCGTGAACCGCTCTCTGCCCATCAGAACCCCCGAGCGTCCCCTGCCTGCTGTCCCCCGCCGAGCCTTCCTGAGTCGTCCGCCTTCCACCGTGCATCTGTCGTGACCGTCTTCACGCAGGGCCTCAAAAAGGCTGCCGCTGCCCGTCGAGTCCACTGTCCTCCGCGGACCCTTCCCCTGCCCTCCAGCTCCGCCGCTGAGTCTGCGGGAAGTCCCTGCGCCCCCCGCACCAGGGCCCCGGCGGCCCCACGAGAGGGCAGAGCGCGCTCCTTCTGAGCCCTGGGTCTCCTCGCTGCCGCACGCGCTCCGGGCAGAAAGCCTCCTGACCTCGCTCCCCAGCGCCTGGGCCGGCCGCCAGGAGGCCGTCAAAGGCTTAGAAGGTTGCCTTTTTCTGCGACGGTTTCCGTTCGCAGCAACTTCTTTCTGCGCCTCTAAGAGCTGCGGTGGTTCACGACTCCATTTTATATTTAACTAATGGCTCTTAATCTGAGCACAGCACGTGGACATCTCCATGGCAACACGCCCTAGGACAGAGGAGGTGACCTTACTGGCGGCCTCAAGACCCCGCGCGGGTCCGGCCAGCGAGTCTCCCTGCCGCGGAGCCTGGACGCACGCGGAGGCGGGCCGACTGGCGTGCGCCCCTGGCTTCCAGCCCCTACACGGGCCTCCTGATCCCCTAAACCCGAGGGCCGTCCCTCAGCCTCCTGACCCTCCCCAGACTGTGATGGGTTCTATTCAAATCGCATTTGAATACCAAGTAGTTGCCAGGTCTTTCAGATTTAGAAATTAATAAAATACAGATTCTACTCTTAAGAGATCTGTAATACAGTGTGAAAAGCCTTCTCTTAGCATTCACTACGGGGCTGGGTCATTTGACCCTAAACCCCCAAAAGGCAACCCAAAAGTGCTTGTGGAATAAGTGAACTGTTTAATTCTGAGAGCAAAAGCAGATGCCCGGAGGAACAGGGAAACGGGCACTTCCTTCTGTCCAGACACCTGCGGACAGCATCGCAGCAGAAGGGATGCCCTGGGGGCGCTGACCAGGGGGCAGCAGGCCGTCCAACCGGGGAGCAGCGTGTGCAGAGGACGTCCAGGGAGATGGAAGGTCCAGGACACAGTGAGAAACAGCCCCACAGGATGGGGACCCCAGCCGCAAGGCTGCATGCAGACACCACAGCCAAAGGCATGCTCAGGCTGGACTGGGGGTGGCTGAGCAGCCGTGACGCGCAGGTCACAGGGTGGACCCGCTGCCGTGGGGCAGGAAACGTCCCCCACCACCTGCCACCATCCTGACAACGTGTCAATCTAAATACATTTGCATTATGTCAACAGTGCAATTTTTCACTGAAAAAGCATTTTCGGGAATGAATTTCACCAAATCTATGTAACCCCGTGCTCAGTTTTCTAAACAAAGTAGTTTTGTTTTCATTTCTGCTTTTTCCCCCCTCCCAAAAGATTCTCACTAGGGTTAACTCTCTTGCAGGGAGTGTTTGGGGAGGTGCGTCTGTCTACAGTTTTATCAGAGCTTCTGACACTGGGGGTTTCCTCTGGAGCCATTTTTCCCACATTAAATTTTGTAAATGTCAGTCGCTCAGTCACGTCTGATTCTTTGCGACCCCATGGACGGTAGCCTGCCAGGCTCCTCTGTCCATGGGATTTCCCAAACAAGAATACTGGAGTGGGTTGCCATTTCCTCCTCCAGGGGATCTTCCCAACCCAGGGATCGATCCTGGGCCTCCCACATTGCAGGCAGATTTTTACCGTCTGAGCCACCAGGGAAGGCCAGCATGTGCAAAGATGACTCCGTTCTCATCCCCTGTAATATTTCATTATTACCACGTGGCTGCTCTGGGTCTTCTTCGCGGTGCGTGGGCTCCTTGCTGGAACACAGTCTCTCGTTGCCCCGCTCAGACTTGGTTGTTACCCATGGCTTGTGGGACCTCAGTTCCCCGACCAGGGATCGAACCCGGAACTTCTGCACTGGAAGACGGATTCTTAAGCACTGGACGACCAGGGAGGTCCCTATCCACTTTTAGACAGTAATAGCTACCATTCTTGAGTTTTTCTTTGACTACTAATGCTATTTAGAAATGTGTTGTTTAATCTCCAAATATTGTGGGATTTTCTAGCTATCTGTTTGTGACTTCTAGTTTAGTGCTCTGAGAGCATAATTTACGTTCTATTAAATGGATTAAGGTGTGTTTTATGTCTCATAGTCTGCATAGCTATTGCAGCAAGACAAGAAGAGTAAATAAATGCATACAGTTTGGGAAGGAAGAAATAAAACTCCATTTGTTCACAGATGATGTGGTTATCGGTAAAGAAAATCCCAAAGAATCACTTAACCAACTGAAACTAGTAAGTGATTATAGTGAGGCTGCAGGATTCAAGATCAACATATAAAAGTCAGCTGCTTTTGGGACTTCCCTGGAGGTCAAGTGCTTAAGCCTTTGCCTTCCAATGCAGGGGGTACAGTTTCGATCCCTAGTTGGGAAAGTAATATCAGATATGCCTTGGGGCCAAAAAACCAAAACATAAAACAGAAGCAGTGTCCTAACAAATTCAATGATGACTTTTAAAAATGGGTCTGATTAAAAAAAAAACTTTAAAAGTCCAGTAGTTTCCAGTATCCAACACTGAACAAGAGGAATTTGATATTTAAAACACAGTATCTTTTGCATTAGCACCAAAGAAAAGGAGAATAAGTATTTCATAACAGATCGAACAAAACATGTACATGACCCAGCAGAAAAGTACACAACTCTTATGTAAGAAACCAGAGAAGATCTAAATAAATGGAGAGATATTTCATGTTCATAGATTCGTTGTTCAGTTGCTCAGTCGTGTCTGACTCTTTGCGACCCCATGGACTGCAGCACACCAGGCCTCCCTGTCCTTCACCATCTCCTGGAGCTTGCTCAAACTCATGTCCATTGACTCTGTGATGCCATCCAACCATCTCGTCCTCTGTCCTCCCCTTCTCCTGCCTTAAACCTTTCCCAGCATCAGGGTCTTTTCCAATGAGTCAGCTCTTCGCATCAGGTGGCCAACATAGTGGAGCTTCAGCTTCAGTATCAGTCCTTCCAATGAACACCCAGGACTGATCTCCTTTAGGATTGACTGGTTTGATCTCCTTGCAGTCCAAGGGACTCTCAAAAGTCTTCTCTGACACCACAGTTCAAAAGCATCAATTCTTTGACGCTCAGCTTTCTTTATGGTCCAACTCTCACATCCATACATGACCACTGGAAAAAACCATAGCTTTGATTAGACAGACCTTTGTCGGCAAAGTGATGTCTCTAACCTGTTCATGGATGGGAAGACTTAATATTGTTAAGATGTCAGCTCTCTCCAACATGATCTACAGATTCAACACAATCCCAACCAAAATCCCAGCAAGTCATTATATGGATATCAACAAACTGACTTTAAAGTTCGTATTATTCTGTATCATACAGTTGTACGAGCATATTCACTGCAATGCTGTATTTAATAGTAGGACTACTAAATATTTAAATACCTGGTGTGGAAAGGTAGTCAATTATGAAAAATCAACAAAATTCTATACCACAAAGTGGTTAAGAAGCATGAGATAACTCCTTATGTAGTGATCTAGAAATACGATCCACAATAAAAATTTAGGGAAAAAATTAAGGCATAGATCAGAGTATGCAGGACACAGCCAGGTGGGAGAACTGACCCGGAGCCTGCGTGCATGCACGGAGAGACAGCCTCTGGAAGGGAGCAGACGGTGTGTCTGGATTAGCCTTCTGTGGCTGCAACAAGTTACCACAAACGGGGGTTTGGGGGGTCTTGGCACGGCAGAAGTGGATGGCCTCCGCCTCTGGAGGCCAGGAGTGTGGGATCAGGGGGCTGGCAGGGCTTCGCCCCGCCTGAAGCGCTCGAGGAGGGTCCCCGCCGCCCCTGCCTCTGGGGGCTCAGGGTACGCCTTGTCTGCTGTCTGCCCCGCAGTCCTCACACGGGCTCTTTCTTCCGTGGCCTCTCTGTGTCTCCTAAAAGGATGCTGGTTACCGGCTTCAGAGCCTACCCTCAATCCAGGTCTGACTTCTCATCTCGAGATCCTTCATCAGACCTGCAAAGACTCTCTCTCCAGATAAGGTCACATGACAGAGGCCCCAGGGGTTAAGGTGTGGACACAGACTCTGCAGCCATCATTCACCCCCACACAGTGGAGTCCGAAGAACTCTCCTCCTCTGATTTTTCGAATCCAACCCCCTTCCCTGTGACCACTGCGCTTCGGCACATGCCCCCGGCTGGCCACCTGCTCTCAGCACGGGTCTATCCCCGAGTGAGAGTCCTTTCTGCAGCGGCCTGCCCCGTGCCCCGTAGCACGGGTCTCTCCCCGAGTGAGAGTCCTGTCTGCAGCGGCCTGCCCCGTGCCCCGTAGCACGGGTCTCTCTCTGGGTGAGAGTCCTTTCTGCACTGGCCTGCCCCGTGCCCCGTAGCACGGGTCTCCCCCCGGGTGAGAGTCCTTTCTGCAGTGGCCTGCCCCGTGCCCCGTGCCCGGTGCAGCAGCCAGGAGGGTCGTTCTCAAGAGTCCGCTCAGGTGTGACGTCACTGCCCAAGCCCCTCTGAGAGCCCCCACCCCACGCAGAATGAAAGGTGAACTCGCCCGTGGCCTCGGCTCCTAAGCGTCCTTGCCCCGCCTCCCGGCTCGCTGTCCAAATACTCCAAGCCTGTGCTCCCTCATCCCCTCTGCCCAGAATTCCTCCTCCCCACACAGCTTCAGGTCAGATCTCTATCTGCTGTCCCCTCACTACGAAAGCTGACACTGTCATTTCCCTGCACCCGCCCTCCATCGCCAGGTCAGCAAACCACAACCCACGATCTGACGCTGGTTCATATAATAACGCTTTGCTGGAACCCAGCCTCGCTGACTCATCGAAGCATCACCAGTGATTGCTTCTGAGCGATGGATGCAGAGCTGCCGAGCAGCACAGACACCTCACGGCCCCCGAGCCCGGGACGCGGACCACCGGGCCGGCCCCTTCCCGGGCGAGCAGCCCGCCGCGGCCCGCCCCGTGGGCTCTCACCGCTGCCGGCCTGGCTGCGCCTCCTGCCTCCACCCCCCAGGGCCGGCTCTGGGAGGTCGTCAAAGTCCCGGAGCAACAGGACGTGTTGACAAACCCCCCAGGAGGACGGTGCAGGCAGAAGCCACGGCCGCCTCTGGGGACAGCTGGGTGCTGGTGGGGAGACGGCGGACTCTTCTACCCACCCTCTAACACCCCTTCCTCTCACACCAGGGGCATGCGTGACTACGAACATAAAAAACTTTAAAAATGTCAGTAGAGAATTATTCACACGAAAAGCATGGCAGTTACCTTCTAAATCAAAGTTATATGGAAAGACAGGCGATCAGATACACTACCTGGTCTTTGAGAAAACAGCAGGTACAAAGTTAATGTGCTGAAGACCAACGACTGATTTAACCAGCAACATGGATGCCTGGGTTGGGCTGGGAAAACGAGGTGCGGAAGGGTGGAAAGAGCCCCACCTCCATCTGTTACAGCAGCGAGCAGTTAACCACTAAGGTGAAATGATGCAAAAGCATAATTTACTCAATAAAATACTTATTAACATAGAGGCAATTGCAGAAAAGAGAAAAAGAAAAAACAGGTCAAGAGTTAGAACTGTTTTCTTTGAGGGCCAGAACCACAGAAATCAAAAAACTAGATTTTTTTTTTTTAATTTATTTGGCTGCACTGGGTCTCGGTTGTGAATTGCAGGATCTTAGTTCCCTGCCCGGGGGGTCCAACCCAGGCCCCCTGCATTGGGGGCACAGTCTTCACCACTGGACCGCCAGGGAAGTCCCCCCGCTCCTTTTTTTTTTTTAACACAAGCCTTTTGGTACTACTTAATTTTTTTAACCACTCACAGAACGGGTACTCAAAGGCTAACAAGCAGGAAGCGCGCCTGCAGCCCAGGCCCGGCCCGCCCCGCGCGCCTGCTCCCTCTGCGGCCGGCCGGCCACTCCCACCCGGCGGCGGGCAGCGCTAACCCTTACAGCTGAGGAAGGCCGGTGTGCTGCTGGCGGGAAGCGCGCTCCCCGGAACCCCGCAGGGGGTGCTTTTGCTCAGAGCCGCCCCGACGCAGCCGAGCAAGACTGGACGCCGGGGACGCGGCGCGGGGGGGGGACGCTCAGACGGTCGAGACAGACACAGCCGCGCGGCGCGGCACACGCGCGTCCGCAGGCTTCCCGGCTGCTGGCCCGGCTGACCCGCGGAGGCCCAGGGCAGCGCCGGGCCAGGCCCCAGTTTACAGAAGTCCTCCCCGCGCCGAGGCGGAGTGGTTTCCGAGTCCCCCACATGAGCTCCTAGTCACAACCCCACCGGCGGACCAAACCCCAGCGCTTCTCGTGTTTTCTCACCGGCCGCAAGCTGTCTCCTTGGAAGCCCCACTCAGGAGGGCCGTTTCTCCTACCCGCCCACTGGCCGTCCAGACCTTCCCTCCAGCTGGTCACACCTGTGTGGGAGCTAACTCATCTCGCTGGCTGCTGCATTTGCCTTGCTGCTGAAACCCTGTCTCATAAAAGTTAGGGCAAACTGAAGGGGAAACAATGGAAACAGTGACAGACTTTATCTTGGGGGCTCTAAAATCACTGCAGATGATGACTGCAGCCATGAAATTACAAGACGCTTGCTCCTTGGAAGAGAAGTTATGACCAAGCTAGACAGCATATTAAAGAGCAGAAACATTACTTTGTCAACAAAGGTCTGTCAAGTCAAGGCTATGGTTTTTCCAGTGGTCAGGTATGGATGTGAGAGTTGGAGTATAAACAAAGCTGAGCGCCGAAGAATTGATGCTTTTGAACTGTGGTGTTGGAGAAGACTCTTGAGAGTCCCTTGGACTGCAAGGAGATCCAACCAGTCAATTCTAAAGGAAATCAACACTGAACATTCATTAGAAGAACTGATGCTGAAGCTCCAATACTTCGGCAATCTGATGTGAAAAACTGACTCATTGGAAAAGACCCTGATGCTGGGCAGGAGGAGAAGGGGACGACAGAGGATGAGATGGTTGGATGGCATCAGCGACTCAATGGACATGAGTTTGAGCACGCTCAGGGAGTTGGTAATGGACAGGGAGGCCTGGCGTGCTGCAGTCCATGGGGTCGCAAAGAGTCAGACATGACTGAGTGACTGAACTGAACACCCCTTTATCAGTTTTAGAAATCTGGATTTTTTTTTTTAAGAACAAAATATATTTTAATCTCCTCTGACTAAAAACTGTCAGAAACAAACTCAGTCTAATATTTTTATTGTTTTAACACAGATATGCTAGTAACCAGGTGATCTCATTTCCAAAATGTGGACTAAGAATTGTAACTTAAGGAAAAACCTGAGATATACAAAATGGAAGTATTTTTACCAAAATTAGATATTTTCCCTCATGGAAAAAAGTTAGAAAAGGTCACATGGTTTTGGGAAAAAACACCCAGCTTTCCCCTTGTGATCAGCTGGGAGCACTGGTCTCCCCTGGGCCCAGGCACTTAAACCATGGCAACAAGGCAGAACACTCGCTGGATCCAGAACCTCACACCGAACACTACCTACAGATATTTACTTTAATAACTGAGAGCAAAGAGAACCTTTTTCCAAATGAAGTCTTCCTTCAGAACAATTTTTCCCAAAATGTTTAATACAGTGATTTTCTGTTTCTAGAGAAGACCAGACTTTTCCCAGCCCTTCCCACGTGAACAGAAACACCACCCTCCAGCCCCCACCCAAGAGGCAAGCACCCAGACGGAGCGGCCCTGCAGCGCGGCACAGCCAGGGTTCGCGGGGGGCCGGGCCGGCCCTCTAGGAGCTGAGCACGATCAGCTTGTGGAGCTGGTACAGGAAGGTGTTCTTGCCCCTGCTGCTCTCCCGGTCTGCCTGCTCCATCACCAGCTTCGGATCGACCTGTCGGGGCAAAAGGGCCAGTCAGGCTCTGCAACAGCGCTTTTCTAGACATAAAGTAAAACAAAGTTATACACATACACAGACCTCATGTGTGTGTGTACAGAATGCGTAGGAAGCATGCTTCAATTTCCCAAGAATATTTATAGAATGCTTCTCTACTCTCACAACACCAAATACTATACATGTGCTATGCCATCTTTCAATTTGTCTTAATGATACAGTAACCTTTACTCAGAAATCTCCCTCACATTCTTTTATATAAACATGAACAGCAACTTCACAGAGGCATTAGAGCATGTCTAAGTTTTCTGAACGGCTTCCTAACTAAGTCTTGCTATTAGCTTCACACCCCCACGGAGGCTGTGGCAGAGGTGGCCGGCGCACCCTCCACATCCCTCCCCGTGGGCAGAGCTCGTGCAGGTGACAGAGCGGCTCCAGTGACCGGTGCTCAGCGCTCTAACAGGGGAACCCCGTGATGGGGCACATGGACAGCAGGGACATTGCAGCAGAAGTAACCGTCAGACCTGGAGTAGAAAACACCGTCTGCAGGGGCAGCGTCTCACTTCCCCTGCCAAAGGGATGAGGAACCAGCGCCCCAGTTGGTTTATTTATAAAGACAGCCTTGGCTCTAGGATTATTGCTATTCAATCACTAAGTCACGTCCGATTCTTTGCGACCCCATGGACTGCAGCACACAGGCTCCCCTGTCCTCCACTATTTCTCGGAGTTTGCTCAAAGTCACATCCATTAAGTCAGCAACGCCATCCAACCATCTCATCCTCTGCCGTCCCCTTCTTCTGCCCTCAATCATTCCAAGCATCAGGGTCTTTTCCAATGACTCAGCTCTTCAAATCAAGTGGCCACAGTATTAGAGGTTCAGCATCAGTCCTTCCAATAAATATTCAGGGTTGATTTCCTTTAGGATTGACTGGTCTGATCTCCTTGCTGTCCAACTACCTTTTCTAGCACAATTCAAAAGCATCAGTTCTTTAGCACTCAGAAAGTCTGAGTGCTTCCTTAAGTCTCACATCCATACATGACTACTGGAAAAACCACAGCTTTAACTAGATGGACCTTTGCTGGCAAAGTGGTATCTCTGCTTTTTAATATGCTGTCTAGGTTTGTCATAGCTTTTCTTCCAAGGAGCAAGTGTCTTTTAATTTTGTGGTTGCAGTCACTGTCTGCAATGACTTTGGAGTCCAAGAAAATAAAGTCTCCCACTGTTTCCACTTTTCCTCCATCTATCTGCCATTTAGTGTTGGGACCAGATACCATGATCTTAGTTTTCTGAATGTTGAGTTTTAAATCAGTCTCCTCTTTCACTTTCATTAAAAGGCTCTTTAGTTTTTCTTTGCCTTCTGCCATAAGGGTGGTGTCATTTGCATATCTGAGGTTGCTATTTCTCTCGACAATTCAATCGACAATTGATTCCAGCTTGTGCTTTACCCATCCTAGCATTTCACATGATGGATTCTGCATGTGAGTTAACTAAGCAGGGTGACAATATATAGCTTTGACGTACTCCTTACCCAATCTGGAACAAGTCCGTTGTTCCATGTCCAGTTCTAACTGTTGCTTCTTAACCTGCATACAGGTTTCTCAGGGGACAGATAAGGTGATCTGGTATTCCCATCTCTTTAAGAATTTTCCATAGTTTGTTGTGAAGTCAAAGGGCTTCCCTTGTGGTTCAGCTGGTAAAGAACCTGGGTTTGACCCCTGAGTTGGGAAGATCTCCTGGAGAAGGGAAAGGCTACCCATTCCAGTATTCTGGCCTCGAGAATTCCATGGACTGTATAGTTCATGGAGTTGCAAACAGTCAGACATGACTGAGTGACTTACACTTCACTTCACACAGTCAAAGGCTTTAGTGTAGTCAATGAAGAAGTAGATGTTTTCCGGAATTCCCCTTTTTCTATGATCCAACAGATGTTGGCAATTTGATCTCTGGTTCCTCTGCCTTTTCTAAATCTAGCTTGTGCATGTGGAAGTTCTTGGTTCACATACTGTTGAAGCCTAGTTTGGAGAATTTTGAACATTACTTTGCTAGCGTGTGAGGTGAGTGCAATTGTGGGGTAGTTTGAGCATTTTCTGGCATTGTCTTTCTTTGGGACTGGAATGAAAAGTGACCTTTTCCAGTCCTGTGGCCACTGCTGAGTTTTCCAAATTTGCTGGCATATTGAGTGCAGCGCTTTCACAACATCATCTTTTAGGATTTTAAATAGCTCAACTGGAATTCCATCATCTCCACTAGCTTTGTTTATAGTGATGCTTCCTAAGGCTCACATTTCCAGGATGTCTGGCTCTAGGTGAGTGATCACAGCATCATGGTCATTAAGATCTTTTTTGTACAGTTCTGTGTATTCCTGCTACCTCTTCTTAATATCTTCTGCTTCTGTTAGGTCCAGACCATTTCTGTCCATTTACTGTGTCCATCTTTGCATGAAATGTTCCCTTCATATCTCGAATTTTCCTGACGAGATCTCTGTCCTTCCCACTCTTGTTTTCCTCTATTTCTTTGCACTGTTCCCTTAGGAAGGCTTCCTCACCTCTCCCTGCTACTCTCTGGGACTCTGCAGTCAGTCGGGCATATCTTCCCCTTTCTTGTTTGCCTTTGATGTCTCTTCTTTTCTCTTGGCTCTAGGATTAGAGCTTAAAATTCCTCCCTGGGCTCCTTTCCTGAAATCACATTTTATTCTCTTCTCTAAATCTCATGGGCAGGAAATGTCATGGTGCCCAGTGTGGGCCCCGCCACACTTCACAAGCGCTGTGGGCCAAACCGTGTCGTCCAGACCCCCAGTTGTAACAGTGTTAGGAGGCAGGCCTTTGGGCAGTAGTCGGGTTAGACAAGGTGAGGGGGAGGCTCTCACGATGGATCAGTGCCCTTGCAGGAAGAGACCCCAGAGAGCATGCCGCCCACTCTCTGCCACGCAAGGGCACAGTGAGAAGGTGGATGTCTCCAAGTGGGAGGAAAGCCCTCGGCAGAACCCCGCCATGCCGGGACCCTCAGCACCCACGTCCAGCCTCTAACACTGTCACAAAATAAACTGCTGCTGCTGTTCCTACCCAATGGGTGGCACATCGTTATGACAACCAGAGAAGACTAAAACAGCCACAAACGTACCCTAAGTGCTCGTCCAGACATTCATACCTGTTTTATCTAGAAGTAAAGGATGATTAGCCTGGGGTCTAACTTTTCACATACAGTATACTATCCAGAGGGCTTCCTGCCAATGCAGGAGACTCGAGTTCAATCCCTGGGTCAGGAAGACCCCTGGAAGAGAAATGGCAACCCACTCCAGTATCTTGCTGGGAAAACTCCATGGACAGAGCAGCCTGGAGGGCTACGGTTCATGGGGTTGCAAAGAGTCGGACGTGAATGAGTGACCGAGCGACGCCCTACGCAGCAGCGGCAGGCTGCCTGCAGCCCCGCCACATGACTGACAGCACTGCCCACCCTGCCGGCCACCGCTGCTCTCCCGCCTGCTCCACCCTGAGGCCCTCCTGCAGGCAGGTGGCCCGCACGGCCTCAGGCTTCTCGCTTACCTGATTCCACTCATATGGCTTCTCATGCCACTTGGGAACAACCTTCTCTCTTGGTTTCAACTGGCAGAACAGACTAAAATTTTAAAAAAGAGAGTTTAAGTCATCTTAATTTTATGTTCGTAACTGAAAACACTACTATGATATTTAAAAAGAGATTTAAATTCTATGTCCTTTCTCTCAGAATTATAACTCCAGTAAGTTTTTTTAAAGGTCAAAATTTATGTAATTGTGATCAGAGAATATTTTAATGCACTATACATTCAAAAGGGTTTCCCTGATTGTTCAGTTGGTAAAGAATCTGCCTGCAATGCAGGAGACCCCAGTTCAATTCCTGGGTCGGGAAGATCCACTGGAGAAGGGATAGGCTACCCACTCCAGTATTCTTGGGCTTCCCTTGTGGCTCAGCTGGTAAAGAATCTGTCTGCAGTGCGGGAGACCTGGGTTTGATCCCTGGGTTGGGAAGATCCCCTGGAGAAGGGCAAGGCTGCCCACTGCAGTATTCTGGCCTGGAGAATTCCATGGGGTCATAAGGAGTCAGACACAACTGAGTGACTGACTCTCACTTTCATGCATTCAGAAGCAAGAGAGAATGGCACGGCCTGTTAAGGCTGACCGCTGTGCACTGTTCCCCTGGAACCAGCGCAGGCCACTCCATCACCCAACATCTCTGCGTCACTGAGTCAAGTTCTGGGAGCGTGTATACCATTTACTCTTAAGCAGCTGTGACAAGCTGGAAATGTCAAAAGGCTGAGATAGAGAATTCTAGCAATAAGAGAATAAAGAAGTTTGCAAATCTTCTTGCACCTCCGTCCTCCCCAACAACTATAAAACTAAACACGATTGTTCAAGGAACACATCTGAAGGCTCTGGATGTTAACCAAAAGCAAAGAAGTTCAGAAGCATTCATTCAAGAAAAACTGCTGAACTCCAGGCAGCAAGAGTGGAGTCTGCGGAGTTCGAGCCTGGGGCTGCTCCCACCCACCTTCATGCCCACCCTAGCAGCTCACCCTGCTCCCAGCCACACTCACACCCTCCCCAGCAGCTCGACCTGGCGCTCCAGGGTTCCAGGGGAGCTGGCCATGAGAACAGGCTTCCTCGTGGCCAGACTGACTTCACCTGGTCTGAAGCAGAGGGTGAAGCCTCACGCCTGGCAGCACTGTCAGACGAGTGCAGGAGGAAATAAACAGAGAAAGCCCCAGCTCTGCGAGCCTTTGGCCTTGGTCCTGCTTGGGGCCAGCGCAGACCAGCAGACCCCCCGGAAATACCCGAGGGAGGCAGAGGCCAGCGGGGCTCCCAGACGACCCCTCGGTGATGGAGAAGCCGCACACACAGGTGCAGAGGAGCCCCACGAAGGCCCAAGCCTGCCACAGGGCCCTGGGGAAAATACAAGGCAGAGAAGAGTTTAACACTGCCTGAGCCCTAGAGGTACTGCCAATCCACACACAGACCCACCAGCACAGGGCAGAAACCTTAGTGACTCAGGGGTCCAAGCACAACTTCTGATTCATCAAAGGCTGAGCACTAAGCAATGCAGACACAAGGACAACCCCTAACCAGCCAGGCTGAAAAATAAAAGGAAAATTAAAAAAAAAAAACGAAAACACAAGTATCAGTGGCCTTACAACATGGTAGGGAAACCCATTCTGCAGAATTCTGCAGGGAATAATCAAAATCCTACATATATACTACATTACCTAAAATACTTAATTTTTAGCAAAATATATGAGAAACAGGAACGTGTGACCCATACTCAGGAATAAAACAGAGAACAGGCAACAGAAGCTGACTGAGTGGGCTCAGATGTGGGTTTAGCAGGTAAGACTTCAAAGAGGCCACTGCAAGCACATACAAGGAATTAAAGCAAACCATGTTTAAAGAAACAGAGGAAAACATGATGATAATGACTCAAAGGTAATCTCACTAAAAGTTTAAAACTATACACAAGAGCCAAAGGGAAATTTTAGAATTGAAAGGTACAATAACAGAAATGAAGTCCTTACAGGAGACCAGAATCCGCAGGAGTGAGACGGAAGCAGAGAGTCAGTGAACTTAAGGACAGAGCAACAGACGTCACCTAACTGAACAACAGGCAGGAGGAGGACGCAGAAGAATGCTCAGAGCCTCCGAGACCAGCGGGACGACTTCAGCTGTACACAAACACACGTGCGATGGGAGTCCCCAAGGAGAGAGCAGGAGTAGGGCAGAAAGAAGGTTTCTAAAAATTCAAAGATGCAAATAGGTTATAAGTAAGAGGACAGGAAAAGATATGTCATGAAAACAGTAACCAAACCAAGCAGAATAGCTGTATCAGGCAAAATAGACCTTTAAACAAGAAGTATTATCAGAATAGAGATTTCATAATGATAAAAGAGCTAATACCTCAGAAAGATACAACAATTACAAATGTAAACAAGTCTAATAGAGCCCCAAAAGACATAAAGGAAAACTGACAGAGTTGAGAAGAGAAATACTTCCCCTTCAATAATTAGAAATTTTAATACACCAGTTTCGATTTTCACAAAACTAGAAAGAAAATCAGCAAGCATAGTGAATCCTAGAACACCACCCACCATTGACCCACCCAGCATCTACAGAGAACCCCACCCAACAATGCATATATTCTTCTCAAGTGAACACGGAACACTTTCCAGGAAAGACTGTGTGCCAGGCCATAAAGCAAGTCTCGATACATTTTAAAAGAAATTATGAAAGACTGAAGTCATTCATTTCAGTATATGACCTACACACACAAAAAAGACCTACAACAGAAATACATTATATATTAACAACTTAAAATATTTGGAAAATCTCAAAAAATATTTGAAAATTAAACAGTATGCTTCTAAATAATGCAAAGAAAAAATCACAAAGAAAACTAGAGAATACTTTTAAAAGAATTAAAATCAAAATACAACTGATCAAAAAGTACGGGATACAGCAAAAACAGTAATGGAGGGAATTTTAAACATTTAAATGTAACAGAAAAGAAATTCTCAAAATAATAATCAAAGCTTCTAAGTTACGAAATTGGAAAAAGAGCAAGTTAGGCCCAAAGCAACCAGAAGCAAGGGAATAATTACAATGAGAGTAAACATCAATGACACAGAAAAGATAAACATTAGGGGGGAAAATCAACGAAACCAAAAGTTAGTTCTTTGAAGAGATCAATAGAATTGATAAACTTTAGATAAGCTAACCAAGAAAAAAGAGAGACGATACACACAAAAACCCAAAGCAAGAAAGGGAGACGTGATTGCCGACTGCGCAGAGAAAAGGGCTCCTGGAGAAGATTCTGAACAACGGCATGCCAACTAGTTCATTTAAATGAACTGAACAAAATTCTTAGGACACGAATTATCAAAACTGACTTAAAAAAAATAGAAAATCTGAATCAACCTAAAACACAAGAAATTGAAGTAGTAATTTAAAATCTCCCCACAAAGAGAAGTCCAAGTTCAGATATTTCATTGGTAAACTCTATCAAATATTTAAAGAGATAATATCAATCCTATACAAACTCTTTCTGAAAACAGTGTGTCAGGAAACACTTCCTAACTCGTTCTATGAAGCCAGTGCCACTCTGATACCAAATCCAACAAAGAAATCACTGGAAACTTCAGACCAGTGAGTGACCCTCATAAACAGAGAGGGAAAACCCTAACAACAGAAACAGCAAAAGAGTTATCCAAAGAATTACACACTATGTGGAATTCATCCCAAGAATGCAAACCTAGTTATAACACCCAAAAGGCAATTAATATAATACACTATATAAACTTTAAAAAACACACTTTTCTCACAGACACAAAAAAGGCATCGGCACAATGTGACACTGTTCCCCGATAAAAGCTGCCAGCAAACTGGGAACAGAAAGGCACTCCTTCGACCTGATAGAGCGCCTCTACAGAAAGCGCACGGCTAGCAGCACCACACTCAGCGAATGACAAGGCTTCTTCCTAAAACTGGGACCGAGGCAAGGACACGTGCTCTCATCACCTCTGTTTAACAACATACTGAGGGTTCTAACCAGCGAATAAAACGGAGAAAGGAGAAAAAAATTAGGAGCATACAGATTGGAAAGGAAGAGTAAAACTGTCTTTACTCATAGATATAATCCTGTATGTAGGAAATCCTAAAGAATCTACAAGAACGACTAGCACTATTTAATAAGGTCACAGGATATAAGACCAGTGTATAAAAATCAACTGTTCATTTGTAGCAATGAATAATGCAAAAATAAAATTATTTAAACTCACAATAGCATCAAAAAAACAAAAATATTCAGAAATAATTTTAAAAGCGCAAGCCCTGCACACTGAAAACCATAGAAGCGCTGAGTGAAGCTGAGGGTCTAACGGACGTCCCACCCGGGTGACCCAGCGGCTCGGCACTGCCAAGATGGCGGCTCTCCTCACGCTCATCAGTGAAGCTGAGGGTCTAACGGACGTCCCACCGGGTGTGGGCCCCGCAGCTCGGCACTGCCAAGATGGCGGCTCTCCTCACGCTCATCAGTGAAGCTGAGGGTCTAACGGACGTCCCACCGGGTGTGGGCCCAGCAGCTCGGCACTGCCAAGATGGCGGCTCTCTATTCAATTTTCGGAATTACTATTAAAAACAGACATAAGTCAACAGAACAAAATAGGAAGTTCATAAATAAACCTAAAATGGCCAATTTATTTTTGACAGGTCCCAAGGTAATTCAATGAGGGAAAAGAAAGATCTTCAGCAAATGTTATAACATATAACATGATGTTATGATGCTATAACATATAACAACTCGATGTTCATATGTGAGAAAACAAACTTCAAAGACTCTTACATGTCATATCACATTCAAATATCCTCTCAAAATGAATCAAAAACCTAAATACAAGAAGGTGGTGCAGCGGTAAAGAACTGCTTGCTAATGCAGGAGACACAAGAGACACAGGTTCAATCCCTGGGTCAGGAAGATGCCCTGGAGAAGGAAATGGCAACCCACTGCAGTTTTCTTGCCTGGAAAATTCCACGGACAGAGAGCCTGTCCATGAGGTCACACAGAGCTAGACACCACTGAGCACAAATATAAGAGAGGAAAACAGGAGAAAACTTTTATGACCTTGGATATAACACCAAAAGCATACACCACACCAAAGATGAAGTAGATATCATCAAAATTAAATCTGTGTGTTCTTCAGAATATGAAAATAAAACTGAAAATGAAAAGACAAACTACATGATGGGGAAAGTATCTGCAATTTACATATTCATAAGAGACTTTCAGCAAGTATTTAGAAAGAATGTCTACAACTCAGTAATAAGATGACAATCAACCCAATTAAAAAACAGGTGAAAGGTCTGAAGTATCAATAACCTCAGACATGCAGATGATAACCACCCTTATGGCAGAAAGCAAACAGGAACTAAAGAGCCTCTTAATGAAGGTGAAAAAGGAGAGTGAAAAAGCTGGCTTAAAGCTCAACATTCAAAAAACAAAGATTGTGGCATCGGGTTCCATCACTTCATGGCAAATAGATGGGGAAACAATGGAAACAGTGACCAACTTTATTTTTTTGGGTTCCAAAATTACTGCAGATGGTGACTGTAGCCACGAAATTAAAAGATGCTTGCTCCTTGAAAGAAAAGCTATGATCAATCTAGACAGTACATTAAAAAGCAGAGACACTGCCGACAAAGGTCTACCTTGTCAAAGCTATGGTTCTTCCAGTAGTCATGAATGGACATGAGTTGGACCATAAAGAAAGCTGAGTGCTGAAGAATTGATGCTTTTGAACTGTGGTGGTGGAGAAGACTCTTGAGAGTCCCTTGGACTGCAAAGAAATCAAACCAGTCAATCCTAAAGGAAATTAATCCTGAACATTCCTTAGAAGAACTGATGCTGAAGCTCCAATACCTGATGCAAAGAACTGACTCGTTGGAAAAGACCCTGAGCTGGGAAAGACTGAAGGCAGGAGGAGAAGGGGACAACAGATGATGAGATGGTTGGATGGCATCACCAACTTGATGGACATGAGTTTGAGCATGCTCTGGGAGTTGGTAATAGACAGGGAAGCCTGGTATGCTGCAGTCCATGGGGTCACAAAGAGTTGGACACGACTGACAGACTGAATTGCACTGTAAGGTCTTGAGATTAACTACAATAAAAAACTCACCATCAAGTGCAGGCAAGGATGTGGAGAAAAGGGAACGGTCATACGTTGCTGGCGGGAATGTGATATGGGAGTCACCTTGAAAACCAGTTTGTCCATTTCTTAAAAACTAACAAATTTACCATACAACCTACCACTCCACTGCTAGGTACCTACCCAAGAGAGAAGAAGATACACGTCCATTCAAAGACTACGTGCCTTCCCAGAGCAGCATTACTCAAAACAGCCTAATACTGGAAACAACCCAAGCATTTCAACAACTGCTGAATGGGAAGAGGAAACATGACATACACACAGAGTGGGGTGTGGGTCACCAAGAACAAACACATCACAACACGGATGAACCTCAAACATATTCTGCTAAACAAATGGAGCTGTATTTTTAAAATCATTAGGTCAATTATAAAAAATTTTCAGAGAAGACAAATCTATGGAGACCATAAGAGGCCAGGGGTTGCCTGGAGTTCGGGTGGGGACAGGAGCTGCTGACAAATGGATGGGAAGGACTGGTGATTCTAAAAACAGCTTTTTTGAGGTCATTATATACTTTAATTGATTCTAAGTATGCAATTCAATAATTTCAGTAGATTTACGGCGTTGTGACTATCACCACAATTCTGCTATGAGGTTATCTGTAAGTCAGCTTTGGGGATGATAGCACGTCGTAGCAGAGTTGTGCTGTGCTGAGCACAACTCCACACACTCACTGAAAACCACTGAACTGCACCCAACCTCCCTCCCCCCAGGCGGAGCCCAGCAAGTCAGGATGCGGCTGCCTGCCTTGGGGGTGGGGGTGCCCTCAGGACACGCAGGGCGGCGCCTGGTCCCTCCGGACGAGCCGTGGCCTTGCTGCTGGGGGCACGGCCGCATCAGGACGGGGCCTGCGACACCGTGGAGACTTGCCGCGCGTCCCACGTGGATCTTGCTGGGTCTCCTTCAGCTCTAGGAGCACTTCTACTGTTTTACAACACGGGGTCCCTCCGGAGCTGGTCGCGTGCTGCACCCAGCGCATGCACACCCTGAGGTGACCTCTGTGCTGTGCGTGTGTGAACTTCAACATGAAGCGCACCTCAGCCTCCGTCACAGTCACAGAGGCAGCGCCAAGCGTCTGTCGCCCTGCTGCTCGCTGCCCCCAGCTGGCTCCCGGCAGGCCAGGCCACCGTCCCGGCCCGGGCAGGGTCTGCAGCCAGCCCAGGCGGGAGGCCGAGCACGGCTGGCGGGACCCAACGTGCCCAGGGGCTGCGTCTGCTCCTCCCCGCCGTGTCCCCCGCCTCGGCCTCCTCTGAGCCGTCCAGGCTGACCTGGCCTCGCGGGCTGCCCTAGTCAGGGCCCTGGTCGCAGGGCTTCTGGCTGGGCTTGGTCAACGGGGAGTCCAGCAAGCGGCAAGCTAGAGCCAGCTGGGAAGCTCCAGAGAGGGACCCAATTCCTGTGAGGTGGTCCTCGAGCCTGGGGCCCCTCATCTCTCTGCCCTCAAGGTGCCCACCATGGACTCCCTCTGCCCTGCCCGTGCCATTTGGAGGGCTCTCTGTATTACACTGTTTTCAAACCGCCCCGCTCCTAACCGCCCGGCTCCCAGTGGACACCCAGGACATAGCCCGCTGCTCCCAGGAAGCTGAGGCCTCTGTCCCGGCACGTGGGAGACACGTCCCCACTTCAGAGGCTTAACCCAGCACATGCATTGTGTCACAGACAGTGCAAGACACTCACAGTCCAGACGGCTGAGAAAGAAGCCCGCGTGGCCACACAGCTCACCCTAAGAGTTTCTGGCGACTGCTGTCCTGTAACTGCGCGATCCTTTCCGGTCCAAGACACTTGGATCCATTCGGTCCATCGCACACTAGCTTGTTGACAGCAGCTCTGAGAATATTAATCTGTAAATAAACAGCAACATACATGCTCAAGTGGTTCTACTGTGATTGAATCTCAATCTTCATTTAAATAATTCATAAACATTTGATTTAGTATTTTCACAATTATCGTCAGTATGGTTTTGGCTTCTGGAACAAATTATCAAAGCAAAATAACACCGGTAAAGTGAAAGCTGTATCAGACTCTTGACAACCCCATGGACTGTAGCCCACCAGGCTTCTCTGTCCATGGGATTTCCAGGCAAAAATATTGGAGTGGATTGCCATTTCCTTCTCCAGGAAATCTTCCTGACCCAGGGATCGAACCCAGGTCTCCTGCATTGCAGGCAGATTCTTTACTGTCTGAGCCACCAACTATCATGATTTAAGAAACAATGACAAAAGGAAAAAAAAAACAACAGTAAGGAAGGTTCAGGCTTTTCAGTGTAAGCATAGTCTTTAAACTTCTGTTCTAGAATGTAACAGTTCAGCCCATGGGGCTACACTGTTCAAAAACCTACTTGCATCTTATACACAGGAAGCCCCTATATCTGTGGATTCAACAAATCTTGGATCAAAAACATTCAGGAAAAAAAAAAAAAACTCCACAAAGTTCCCAAAAGCAGAACTTGAATGTACTGTGCACTGGCAACTATTTGCACTGTGTTCGGTGTATTTACACTGTGTTAGATGTATTAGGTAATCTAGAGACAATTTAAAGTACGGGATTGGCTGAGAGGCTCCCCAGGGTTGTTTATTTATGGCTGCGCTGGGCCTTCATTGCTGCTTGCAGGCTCTCTCGTTGCGGGTGCCGGGGCGCGGAGGGGTGGGGGGAGGCCCGCGGGACTGTTCGCTGCGATGCCCAGGCCTCTCGTTGCCGTGCTTCTCTCGCTGTGGAGCTCAGGCTCCAGCCGCTGCAGCACGTGGGCTCCGTCGGCTGCCACGAGAGCTGAGCTGCTCCGAGGCATGTGGGATGTTCCCAGGTCAGGGACTGAACCTGAGTCCCCTGCACTGACCGAGCGATTCTTAGCCACTGCGCCACCAGGTAAGTCCTTTTGTTTTTTAAATAAAAATAAATGACACCTTTTTCATTTTCACCAAGAACTTCGTTCAGTGTATTCACTGTTTTGTTCCACTACCTTCTGTGATTTTTCAGGCAACTTCATAACTCCGTCTTTCCAAAAACTTTTTATCTTTTTGAGAAAAGAACTGTTTCAGGTGCCTTTTACAGTCTTCGAGGGAACTGAAATTCTTCCCATTAAAAGAATTCTGTAAAGACCAAAATAAACAGACATCCAAAGATTCGATGTCTGCTGAATACAGTGGATGAACTAGAGTTTCCCAGCCAAGCTGTAACAGCTTTTGCTCGGCCATTAAAGAAACATACTGTCTGTGTTATCATGATGGAAGATTACGTGTTTTCTGTTGACTAATTCTGGATGCTTTTGTCAAGTGCTGCCTTCCGTTAGTCTAACTGGAACTAGTACTTGTTGAAATTTATTGTTTGGTTTTCCAAAGGGAGCTCATAATAGAGGAAGCCCATCCAACTCCACCATAAACACACATCACCTTCTTTGGATGAAGACCGGGCTTTGGTGTGGTTGGTGATGGTTCATTTCACTTGCCCCACAATCCTTTCTGTTCCACATTAATACACAGGATTCACTTTTCAGAGCCCATCACAACTTGTTTTAAAAACAGAATGTTTTTGTTATGTCTAAGTAAAGAATCATATGCAGTAATACAATTAAGAAGGTTGTCTTCCCTTATGTGGAACCCAAATACCATAGTAATTAACATAACCAACCTGGTGCAAATAACTTTCAATGCTTGATTTGGATATTTTGAGTATGTCAGCTATCTCCTGCATCGTATTACATTGATTATTCTCCATTAAGGTCTCAATTTGATCACTATCAACTTCAACTGATCTACCTGACCATGGAGCATCATCCAGTCACAAATCTCCAGCATGAAACTTTGCAGACCACTTCTAACACATTCAATCAGTCACAGCACCTTCTCCATATGCTGCACAAATTCTGTTTGCATTTCAGTTGCATTTACCTTTCTCAAAATCAAGCATAATGCACCAAAAATGTTGCTTTCTTTTCCACCTTCAGTATTAAAACAGCTACACAAAAATTAACCAATTTTGATAAGCTTTTTTTAAAAATGCATGCTGATATTGACAGCTGTCACAACACAACCTAACAAAATTGTTTCAGATAAAGTTAAAGACAACTAACTGCTATTGGAGCCATCTTAGAGAAAAAACTAAATGAACTTTTGCGTCCCTCAACCCCCCATGGCCCACCAGTCACAGCCAAGGAATTGACCTGGGTGCCACACTGTTAACTAGACAGCAGGCTCCGTGTGGATCTGACTGGTGTCCTCTTCCCATTCCTGGACCCAATCCACGGCACGGGCAGTCCCGTCTCCCCAGCCTCCTCCTGTCCTGGGAAGATTCTCAGGCTTCTCCTGTCTTTTGAGGCCTTGACAGCTCTGAGGAGTCAGGTATCTTGGGAGATGCCCCCTAGTTTGGGCTTACGTGATGTTTCTCGCATGACTAGGTTGGGCTGGTGAATTTGGGGGAGAGGCCCAGAGATGGGGGCCATTCTCAGTCCATCACATCAGGATGTGTGTGCCATCACCACGGCGGGTCACTGGGGATGCTGGCCTTGGCCACTGAGCCCAGACAGTGTCTGCCAGACTTAGTGAAAGCCGGTCAGTAAGTCTAGTCCACTCCTAAAGCAGGGGCAGGGGAAGGGGAGGTCTGAGCTTCACCTCTCGAGTGCTGTTGGGAATTCTCCAGGACAGAAGATTGGTCTCTTCTCCTCATTTGTTGATTCAATCACTGGTTTATATCCCCGCACACTCTATGGTTATCATCCAACACAACACCGTTTATTCTGTGGCTCTAACTGCTCCGGCTCTGGCACAGGCACGCCCATGGCCGTCTGACCAGCCGCGCCCATTTCCTGAGCACGTCTTCACTTCCCGGCACTATAAGGAGCTCCAGGCGCACGTACTTCCTCTGCCCGTTTCTCTGTGGAGTCCCGGATCCTCTTATTGGAAAATCCTATCAGAAACTACCGTCGGGGCCCTGGGTTTGTTCATGGCTGGCTACTGGCTGCCCTTGTTTCTGGCTCTCAGACCGCTGGGGAATCCAGGCACATGTTTGAGATTACGTATGCACATGTAACTTGCTTGCACGCAGGGAGTTAAACACGAATGCCCACTGAACTGTGCCTCTCGGTCATCCTGCTTCACAGGATGTGTGTCCTCGGTGTGTCCTGCCTTCCCCTCCTGCCTGCCTCCAGGTCCTGTCCCACAGTAAGGAACCGGTGCCCACATCCCTCCCTCACCCGTTCAACTCCAGTAACATGCTGAGCCATTTCAGAACTTGCACTCCTTGAGAACAACTTTACCAAGGAAAAACAGTGCTTATGTGCATTTTCTTTTCATCTACAGCCTTACTGTTTCCAGGCAAGCACTGTTTTCCAAACTTCCTTGTTCCCTTACCTGCCATGATGCGATTATCCCCCGACCCTAGCTGGCGTGCGTACGGGCACACGAGCTCAGGCACTCAGCCGTGTCCAAGTCTCCGCGACCCCACGGACTGTAGCCCGCCAGGCTCCTCTGTCCATGGGACTCTCCAGACAAGAATCCTGGAGTGGGTTGCCACGCCCTTCTCCAGGGAACCTCCCCGACCCTGGGATGGAGCCCACGACACTTACATCTCCTGCACTTGCAGGCGGGTTCTTTACCACTGAGCCAACCTTTCTGATCCTCATGGAGCTCAGTACCGGTCTGTGAAAAGGTTCTCATCACAGAGAGACCAGAGGTATAAGCCTGTGTCAACAGCACCAGGTCAGACACGGCATGTTGAACGACTGTACAAGCAAAACCGGAGTGAGGAGGAGCTCCCACGCCATGATGACCGTGGCCTTACCTCCATGACATCCTCCACGCTGAACTGCACGTCAAACGCAAGCTCCATGTCATGCTCTGGCAGGACTGGGGCCCCTGTGGTCAGATTGCACCCCAGGCCACACAGGACGCCAGTATAGCATTTGCCATCTTGGTCAACTCTACATGAAAAGTTTTGAGAAAAGTTAATTGTTAAGCTACTCGGTTTTTTGTTTTCGATAGGTAACTTGAGCTTATTTTATATATATGTACATATATATAATATTTATTTATTGAAGTATAGTTGATTTATAATGTCATGTTAGTTTTAGGGGTATGGCGCAGTGATTCAGGTATACACACACACACATACATATAAACACCTGAATATATGGATTTATAGAATATATCTATTCCTCTTTAGATTATTTTCCCTTACAGGTTATTAAAGAACTGCTGAGCCGAGTTCCCTGCACTGCTAAGTAATCTCCTGTTGCTCTCCGTTTTGCATCTAGGAGTGTGATGTGTTGATCCCTCCCTGCGCTGCTAAGTAATCTCCTGTTGCTCTCCGTTTTGCATCTAGGAGTGTGATGTGTTGACCCCTCCCGCCTGATTTATTGCTCCCCCTCCTTTCCCCTTAACGCTTGTTTCCTGTGTCTGTAAGTCTATTTCTGTTTTGTAAATAAGTGATGTATTTCTCCATCTATTTGTGTCCTCTTTGATTTCTTTCATCAGTGTTTTACAGTTTTCTATATATAGGTCTTTTGTTTCTTTAGGTAGATTTATTCCTAAGTATTTTATTCTTTTCCTTGCAATGGTGAATGGAATTGTTTCCTTAATTTCTCTGTTTTCTAATTTTTAGTGTATAGGAATGCAAGGGATTTTGGTGTGTTAATTTTATATCCTGCAACTTTACTATATTCATTAGCTCTAAGTAATTTTCTGGTGGTGTCTTTGGGCTTTTCTATGTAGAGGATCATGTCATCTGCAAACAGTAAGAGTTTCACTTCTTTTCCAACCTGGATTCCTTTTCTGCCTTTTTCTTCTCTGATTGCTGTGGCTAAAACTTCCAAAACTATGTTGAATAGCAGCAGTGAGAGTGGGCACCCTTGTCTTGTTCCTGACTTTAGGGGAAATGCTTTCAATTTATCACCATTGAGGATCATGTTTGCTGTGGGTTTATCATATATGGCTTTTATTATGTTGAGGTATGTTCCTTCTATGCCTGCTTTCTGGAGAGTTTTTCTCATAAATGGATGTTGAATTTTGTCAAAGGCTTTCTCTGCATCTATTGAGATAATCATATGGCTTTTATCTTTCAATTTGTTAATGTGGTGTATCACAATGATTGATTTGCAAATACTGAAGAATCCTTGCATCCCTGGGATAAAGTCCACTTGGTCATGATGTATGATCTTTTTAATATGTTGTTTGATTCTGTTTACTAGAATTTTGTCGAGGATTTCTGCATCTATGTTCATCAGTGATATTGGCCTGTATAGTTTTCTTTTTTTAAGGCCTCTTTGTCTGGTTTTGATATTAGGGTGATGGTGGCCTCATAGAATAGTTTGGCAGTTTACCTTCCTCTGCAATTTTCTGAAAGAGTTTGAGTAGGACTGGTGTTAGCTCTTCTCTAAATTTTTGGTAGAATTCACCTTGAAGCCATCTGGTCCTGGGCTTTTGTCTGCTGGAAGATTTTTCATTCCAGTTTTGATTTCCATGCTTGTGATGGGTCTGTTAAGGTTTTCTATTTCTTCCTGGTTCAGTTTTGGAAGGTTATACTTTTCTAAGAATTCATCCATTTCTTCCGAGTTGTCCATGTTATTGTCATATAGTTGCTGATAGTAGTCTCTTACGATCCTTTGTATTTCTGTGTTGCCTGTTGTGATTTCTCCATTTTCACTTCTAATTTTGCTGATTTGATTCTTCTCCCTTTTTTTCTTGATGAGTCTGGCTAATGGTTTGTCTATTTTATTATCTTCTCAAAGAGCCAGCTTTTAGTTTTGCTGATTTTTGCTACAGTCTCCTTTGTTTCTTTTTCACTTACTTCTGCCCTAATTTTTATGATTTCTTTCCTTCTACTAACTGTGGGGTTCTTCATTTCTTCTTTTTCTAGTTGCTTTAGCTGTAAAGTTAGGTTATATGATTTTTTTTTCTTGTTTCTTGAGGTAAGCTTGGATTGCTATGAACCTTCCCCTTAGCACTGCTCTTATTGAATCCCATAGATTTTGGGTTGTTGTGTTTTCATTTTCATTCATTTCTATGCATATTTTGATTTTTTTAAATTTCTTCTGTGATTTGTTGGTTATTCAGAAGCATGTTGTTTAGCCTCCATATGTTTGGATTTTTAATAGGTTTTATTTCCCTGTAGTTGACATCTAATCTTACCACATTGTGATCAGAAAAGATGCTTGAAATGATTTCGAATTTTTTTGAATTTACCAAGGCTAGATTTATGGCCCAGGATGTGATCTATCCTGGAGAATGTTCCGTGTGCACTTGAGAAAAAGGTGAAATTGATTGTTCTGGGGTGAAATGTCCTATAGATATCAATTGGGTCTAACTAGTCCATTGTATCATTTAGTTTGTGTTTCCTTGCTAATTTTCTGTTTGGTTGATCTATCCATAGGTGTAACTAGGGCGTTAAAGTCTCCCACAATTATTGTGTTACTGTTAATTTCCCCTTTCATACTTGCTAGCATTTGCCTTACATATTGCGGTGCTCCTATGTTGGGTGCATATATATTTGTAATTGTTATAGCTTCTTCTTGGATTGATCCTTTGATCATTATGTACTGTCCTTTGTCTCTTTTCACAGCCTTTATTTCAAAGTCTATTTTATCTGACATGAGCATTGCTATTCCTGCTTTCTTTTGGTCTCCATTTGCATGAAATATCTTCTTCCAGCCCTTCACTTTCAGTCTGTATGTGTCCCTTGGTTTGAGGTGGGTCTCTTGCAGACAGCACATGTAGGGCTCTTGTTTTTGTATCCATTCAGCCAGCCTTTGTCTTTTGGTTGGGGCATTCAAAGCATTTACATTTAAGGTAATTACTGATAGGTGTGGCCCTGTTGCCATTTACTTTGTTATTTTGGGTTCGAGTTTATACACCTTTTCTGTGTTTCCTGTCTAGAAAAGATCCTTTAGCATTTGTTGAAGAGCTGGTTTGGTGGTGCTGAATTCTCTCAGCTTTTGCTTATCTGTAATGCTTTTGAATTCTCCTTCATATCTGAATGAGATCCTTGCTGGGTACAGTAACCTGGGTTGTAGGTTTTTCTCTTTCATCACTCTAAGTATGTCCTGCCATTCCCTTCTGGCCTGAAGAGTTTCCATTGGAAGATCAGCTGTTATCCTTATGGGGATCCCCTTGTGTGTTCTTTGTTGTTTCTCCCTTGCTGCTTTTAATATTTGCTCTTTGTGTTTGATCTTCGTTAATTTGATTAATATGTGTCTTGGGGTGTTTCACCCCAGGTTTATCCTGTTTGGGACTCTCTGGGTTTCTTGGACTTGGGTGGCTATTTCCTTCCCCATTTTAGTTTTCAACTATTATCTCCTCAAGTATTTTCTCATGCCCTGTCTTCTTCTTCTGGGACTCCTATGATTCAAATGTTGGGGTGTTTAACATTGTCCCAGAGGTTTCTGAGGTTATCCTCACTTTTCTTTTTTCCTCTCTGCCTCATTTATTTCCACTATTCTGTCTTCCACCTCACTTATCCTATCTTCTGCCTCAGTTATTCTTCTGTTGGTTCCCTCCAAAGTGCTTTTTATCTCAGTTATTGAATTATTCATTATTGACTTTTCTATTTCTTCAAGGTCCTTGTTAAACATTTCTTGCATCTTCTTAATCCTTGTCTCTAGTCTACTTACCTGTAACTCCATTTTGTTTTCAAGATTTTGGATCATTTTTACTATTATTCTGAATTCTTTTTCAGGTAGACTCCCTATCTCCTCTTTGGTTTGGTTTGGTGGCCTTTACCTGCTGAATATTTCTCTGCCTTTTCATTTTATTTAAATTGCTGTTTGGGGTGGCCTTTCTGTAGGCTGGAAGTTTGTGGTTCCTCTTTATTGTGGAGCTTGCTCCCTGTGGGTGGGGTTGGACTAGTGGCTTGTCAAGGTTTCCTGGTTAGGGGAGCATGTATCTATGTTCTGGTGGGTGGAGTTGGATCTCTTCTTTCTGAAGTGCAGTGAAGTATCCAGTAGTGAGTTTTGGGGTGTCTATGGGTTTGGCATGGCTTTGGGTAGCCTGTCTTTTAATGCTCAGGGCTGTGTTCCTACATTGCTTGAGGAGTGTGGTATGTCTTGCTCTGGAACTTGTTGGCCCTTGGGTGAAGCTTGGTTTCAGTGTAGGTATGGAGGCTTTTGGATGAGCTCTTGTCTATTAATGTTCCCTGGAATCAGGAGCTCTCTGGTATTCTCAAGTTTTGGAGTTAAGCCTCCTGCCTCTGGCTTTCAGTCTTATTCTTGCAGGAGCCTCAAGACTTCTCCATCCATACAGCACAGATGATAAAACATCTAGGTTAATGGTGAAAAAATTCTCCACAGCGAGGGACACCCAGAGAGGTTCACAGAGTTACATGGAGAAGAGAAGAGGGAGGAGGGGGACAGAGGTGACCAGGAGGGGAGGAGGGGGAGTCAAAGGGGAGAGAGCAAGCTAGGCAGTCCTCACTTCCCTAGGTGCCCTCCACAGTCCGGAACACCAGAGCGGTCCACGGAGTTACACAGAGCAGAGAAGAGGGAGGAGGGGGACAGAGGTGACCAGGAGGAGGAGACAGGGAGTCAAAAATGGAAAGACAATCCAGCCAGTAATCCGTTCCCTAAGTGTTCTCCACAGCTCAGAACACACAGAGAGACTCACACAGATAAGCAGAGAAGAGAAGGCGCAGGGAGGAGACAGAGGTGACCTGGGGGAGAAAGGGAGACTCAAAAGGGGAGAGGGCAATCAAGCCATTTATCATCCCCCTAAGTGAAAACGGATACTAAAGAATCAGTTCTTAAAGGTACAAAGTGTGTTAGTCGCTCAGTCATGTCTGACTCTTTGCAACCCCATCGACTATATGGTCCATGGAATTCTCTAGGCCAGAGTACTGGAGTGGGTAGCTTTTCCTTTCTCCAGGGGATCTTCCCAACCCAGGGAGTGAACCCAGGTCTCCTGCATTGCAGGAGGATTCTTTACCAGCTGAGCC